TCCCTCATCCACACCCCCCTACTCAAGTAGAGACCCGGGGCCACTAGGCTGGTTCTGATTGCAGCCCCACAAAGACAGCTCCCGACAGCCTTCTAGTCAGTCTTATCCCCATGTGCCCATGCACTTGTTAGTTAGGTTTTGTTTATTTGTTTTTGTTTTATTGATTTGTGTGTTTTGTTTTATTTGTAAACGTGACACAGGCTTGGTTCTTGTGGAAAGAGGGAACCAATATTGAGAAATGCCTTTATAAAATTGGTGTATAGGCAAGTGGAGGGCCATTTTCTTGATTCATGATATTGAGGACCCAGTCCACTATGGGCGGTGCCACCTTGGGGAAGTTGGTCCTGGGTTATATAAAAATCAAACAGTGTGAGCCACACAGAACAAGCCAGTAAGCCAGGTTCCTCCATGGCCTCTACTTCAGTTCGGGCCTCTAGGCCCCTGTCTTTGGTTACTGCCCTGACTTTCCTTTGGGATGAACTGTAAGCTGTATGAAATAAACCTTCTCCTCCCCAAGTTGCTTTTAGTTGTGTTTATCGCTGCAATAGGAAATAAACTAGGACACCCCAACAAACTTCCCAGTGCCTAGCTCATTATTAGTTCTTAATATTAATTGGTAGGAAGGTGGAAGACAGTGGTGCTGAGGACAATGAAGATTATGATGGCCCTGCTTCTAAATTCTTGTCACAAAGTCAGTTAGCCACAGCAATGGCCCCACTGCTTGATAGCAATTTTTAAATAGTTTGATAACAATTTTTCTCATTGTTATGTTAAATACTTAACTAAAGCTACTTAAGGAAAGTAGAGTTTCTTTTTTTGTTCCTAGTTGAAGGGATAGTCCATCATGACGGAAAAAACATAGTGGTAAAGGCAACTCTAGTTGGGATGGCAGGAATGTGAAATAGCTAGCCCACAGTGTCTGCAATCAAGAAGCAGGGAAAGATGAATGCTGGTGTTCAGCTCACTTTCAGTCCAAAATTCAGCCCTTTTGAAGGTGCCACATCCATTCAGAGTAGGGGCTCCTTGTGGTGATATTTTGTTTATGCTCTAACAAATAAAACTTGCCTGAAGATCAGAGGGTGGAGCTAGCCACTAGTTAACCATAGAGGTCAGGCAGTGGTGGCACATACCTTTCATCCCAGCACTGGGGACATAGAAGCAGGAAGATCGGGAGTTCAAGGCCACACTGGGCTACATGGATTTACCAGTCTCAGAGAGAACTAGAGTTCATATCTTTGATCCCAGTACTTGGGAGGTACACGCTGTAGTGGGAGATCCACCCAGCCGCACCTGTGGCACTGACCACGCCCAGTCCCACTTCTGACATCAGATAATGATGTACAGATTAAGATACATGGGACGAGGATAACATATGGGTTATATATCTTATTCCGAGGGAAGTCACTTACACGAGAAACCAGTGTCCCACAAGTTCCTGCTCCAAGGGTCTACACCTAGGCTGCTCTCTGTGACCTGACTGGAACCAAGAGAGCACAATCCTGTCCAGGACCCCAGCCCAAATACCACATGCTCATCTATGCACCTGTGACCACGCCCCAAAGGGCGTGGTCAGTGCCACAGGTGCTGCTGCATGGATCTTTTCACTACACACATCTTTATCTCAGCACTAGAGAGATAGAGATAGGAATATAAGGTGGGTGGAGATAGAATCTGTTGCTCATTCAGGCTGAGGAATCATAGAAACAGGAACTTGGCCTCTTTTTGGTCTGAGATTTTGTAGCAATAAGACCTCTAGTGGCTGGATGCTCTGCTTCTCTGGTCCTAATAGCTGACTGGGGATTTTTATTAAATTTTATTATTAAGACCAATTAGAATTTTAGATACACTTCCTTCCTAGTTAAAACTTTCTGGAAATACCCTTGAAGACATATCCAGCTAACTGGAAAATCAAAAGGGACCATTATATTGGGTGATTCTTTTGATGTGCTGTTGAATTTTTATTTCATTGGGGTGGATTGCATTTATGTTCACCAAGAATATGGACCTTTACTTTTCTGTTTCTTCTGAGTTGGTACCAGTATAACAAAAGGTGTTTGAAAGTATTTGCTTTCTTTATATATTTGTTTTTTGGAGGAGTTTGAGAAGGACTCATGGTTTCTTCCCTCTAGGTTAGTACAGAGGCTGATCAACATGGTCCAAAGGGGTCAGGCTACATCTTGAACTGAGAACATAACTTGACAACATTGCCCACAAGGTAGTGTTTGTTTTGTTTATTTGATTTTTTGTTTTGTTTTGTTTTGTGTGTGTGTTTTGTTTTTGGAGAGGGTAAAGAAAAATATAAGAGTGAGGACACTAGAGGTTTGCACTAAGGCTCAAGAAAGCTGCAGAGGCCAGGCAAGATACAGCAGGGTTAGATTTCTATTTGGAGGCTCTGCCAGTCTATTGCTTGGAGTTATGATGATGAAGCCCAAGCTGCAGTGGAGACCACAGGATGTTGGTGATGACAGGACAAATTCAAGTAGGGAATTGGAACCCCAGTACATTTTTTTCTTCCTGGGAGCATGAGTATCAGTCTCTATCTTCCACCTCTTTTGTGACAGGGCCTTTCATTATTCCCAGCTACATATATGCCAGGTGTCCTAAATATTGTTGTTATATTGCCATGAAGAGACACCATGACCAAGGCACCTTATAAAAGGAAGCATCTAACTGCGGACTTGCTTACTGTTTCAGGGGTTAGTCCATGACCATCACTGAGCGGAGCACAGTAGCAGGCAGGCAGGCAGGCAGGCATAGTGTTGCAGCAGTAGTTGAGGGTTTCCATCATATCTACAAACACTCAGTAGAAAGGGAGAGAGAGATTGGGCCTGGTATGGGCTTTTGAAACCTCAAAGCCCAACCCCCAGTGGGACACCTCCTTCAACAAGACCACACTTCCTAATATACTTCTAAGTAGTCCACCAACTAGGAACCAAACATTCAAATATATGAACCTATTCATTCCTATTCAAACCTAAGAGCGATCTTAATTTGTCTCATCAGTAAAAACCCAGAGTCAGATATCGAGCTAAATACTGATAGATCAGAGAAGCAAAGGGCAGCCAACAGTCACTTCTTAACTCTCTGAATCCTCAGACTGAAAGGACTGAGATCCTGTCTATGCCCCTCCTCATCACTTCCTCTTTCCTCCCCATGTTGTCACTTCCTGTCTCCTCTCTGTACAGACCTTGAGACCTCTATGGTTAACTAGTGGCTAGATCCACCCTCTGATCTCAAGGCAAGCTTTAATTATCAGAACACAAACAAAAACCACAACACAAACCACTACATTAGGCTAGCGGTCCTGTGAGTCTCCAGGGATTTCTCTGTGTCTGCCTCTGACCTTGCTATGGACACATTGGAATGCTAGTTGTGAGCTAGCTTCTCTTGCTAGGTGGATTCTGGAGATCCCACATTGGTCCTTATAGCTGCAACCATTTTACCTCACTGAGCCATCTCTCCAGGCAAGCACTTGCCTTTGAAAAATTAAGGATTGCCAGGAGCCTCTTCATTATCCTCTGAATCATAGTTCCATTCTACCACCTGTCCACATTTTTCCTTCTCTCTCTGGGATCAACTCACTACAAGTGGCTATATTCATATAAGTACCTCACACTGGAGCCCCCAAGTGGCTGTATCCAAAAGGTGCCTTTTCTCTTGGGTTGGCTCACTTTCTGTGCTCTCTCTACAGGTTTGGGGCCCTAACTTTCTATTGCCCCCCTTTCCCACACTTTAGTTCTCTCCCTAGAGAGTTCTTCTACATTTGTTCAACCCACTCTATTTTCTGTTCCTCCATGGTTGCTTGTCCAGACATTCTGATTTCTCTTGCATGGTGAGTTTTAAAGGCTATACCCACCAAATGAGATGTATTCATTCCTATAGCCCGTTCAAACTTTTACATTTTCTTGTGAACAGCAGAGACACATTATACTACAAAATTCATGGTAACCATTCTCACATTTTCTGGGGTCTTTGGGTCAATATCCATGAATTTTTGATATTCTAGAAAAATTCTTAAAAGTTCTGGGAATCCATGTTTGGATTTTAGTGAACTTTTTGCATTTTGTTTTGACTCCTCTTTTTGGGAAACCCTTTACCTATTTCTTTCAAAGTATGCTGTCTATACTGACCCAATTTTCCCATTTCTGCATTGTTAAAATTCCAGCAGGGTTCAATAACTGGGAAAGCCTTTGTTGGCAGGGGTTCTGAATGCTTTCTTCTTGACTGAGGCATTGTGATTCTTTAGTGGCCTTGCCTACCAATAATCTTTTCTGTGATTAATAAAATATTTATGAAGGGCTTGAATGTCTGAGCAGGATTAGTGAGGAGCAAAAGCAGACTATCAAGTCCAGTGCAACAGGTACGCCCACAGAAAGACATATGAAACAAAGGATAGTCATAGACTACCTAATCCCTGTAATAGTCCACGTAGGCGAGTCTTCAGTTTCAACATAGCCATGTAGAGAAGATTATTTCTGGAAAGGGAAGAAGACACCTGCTGCAAACAGACCAGAAAACGCAGCAGTGCCTATCCATGGCAGAGTTGCTTAGGACAAACAATTCCACTGCCAGCCAGGTCAGGAAGAACCATCTTCCAGTGCTTTGTAGAAGATGTTTGCCAACTTGTTTCTGGGTAGAGAGTTTTCATCACTCTGAGCACGCAGCCCAGTAATTGCTTCTGGAAATCCTCCAAAAAGGCAACAACTCTTCAAATCTCCTTTCACCTTAATCTGAGCTCTCAAAGTCCAAGACCATTGACTAAAACTCTGCCTCAATACTTAGATTGCACAGCATGATTCTCTATGTGGCTAAGAGCATATGCTATTCTTATCAGGGACACTTATCTCAGTTGCTGCTGCTCATTAACCTTTATCTTCTGAGTTCAATTATTGGCACTGGGTATGATGTTTTTATGAATATGTAAATAGGAAATCACTTCGGGGGTGAGGACATTTGTCCCTGTATTCTTCACTTGGGTAACAAGAGCCCAGAGTCTCAGCAGCTGGATTCACCTGCGCTGCACTTTCTCCCATGGCTCCTGCAGATTCTCCAGCCTCCTTTCCTCTGTGTGTGTGTCTGCTGCTGGCCTCTGGCTTTGCCCAGGCAGGCAAACTGCTGGTAGTCCCCATGGATGGGAGCCACTGGTTCACCATGCAGATGGTTGTGGAAAAGCTCATCGACAATGGACATGAGGTAGTGGCAGTTGTGCCAGAGGTGAGTTGGCAACTGGGAAAATCTCTGAATTGGACAGTGAAGACGTACTCAACTTCTCACACTCTGGAGGATTTGAACCATGAGTTCAAGGTTTTTATGGGTGCTCACTGGAAAGCTCAGGAGAGCAGTATGTTTTCTCTATTACAACACTCATCCAATGTTTTTTTTGAATTGTGGTTTTCACATTGTAGGGATTTATTTAATGACAAGAAGTTAGTGGAGTACTTGGAGCAGAGTTCTTTTGATGCTGTGTTTCTGGATCCTTTCGATGTGTGTGGCTTAACTGTTGCCAAGTACTTATCACTCCCATCCGTGGTCTTCAGCAGGGGAATTTTTTGTCACTATCTTGAAGAGGGTGCCCAGTGCCCCAGCCCTCCTTCTTATGTTCCCAGAATTCTCTCAAAATTTACAGACACCATGACTTTCAAGGAGAGAGTGTGGAACCACCTATCCTACATGGGGGAACATGCATTTTGCCCTTATTTTTTCAAAACTGCTACAGAAATTGCCTCTGAAGTTCTCCAGACCCCAGTGACTATGGATGACCTCTTCAGTCAAGTGTCCATTTGGTTGTTACGCACTGATTTTATCTTGGAGTTCCCCAGACCTGTGATGCCCAACATAGTCTTGATTGGCGGGATCAACTGCCACCAGGGAAAGCCACTTTCCAAGGTATGTTATGTCTCCATTAGCACATGAAGAGAGTCCTGATTTGGACAATAAAAAATTCTTTACTGAGCTGTGATTCGTTGTTATATTAGCTGCATCTTGAATTTCTTCCTGGGTTACAGAATTGTTTTGTGCCAATTCATTAATAGAAAGAAAATTTACAGATAGCTTTCTTGTTTATATGTTTGTGTTTATCCACAGCATGATTAGAAAGAACTTCCAAGCATAATTCAGATTTCAATTTATGCATGCATGCACCTGTGTGTGTGTGTGTGTGTGTGTGTGTGTGTGTGTAGATCATGGACACTGAAAGGGGAGAAGAGGCATAAGTGAGGCATGAGGGGGGAAAGAGAAAATGCTGGAATACGTTGTACAAGAAAGTATGAAAGGGTTAGACTGAGGGAAAAGATCAGTAACAGGGGCCTGGTGAAGGGCACATGGGCTGACGGCACAAGTTTTAGTCTCTGAGCTCTCAATATGATTTGGGGGACCCTAGTGATACTCTTGATACAGTTGTCATTGCTCTGGCATCCAGAGGGCACATGACTCTCTGGCTTGTGTCACTGTCTATGTTCCAGCCATCACAGCTTTGTTCTGTATGCCATCACAGTTCACTCTTCTTTGGGGCCCTCATGTCTGTTGCTCTCTCAGAATCCTGTTTCTGCCTTGTGTATTTGTGCAAAACATACCTATCTTTGAATCTGGTCTCAGTGATGCCTTTTGGGAAACTTTGCATGATCTCTAGAAGTGAAGTCTGATCTCAGGGCAATTGGGGAACACTTTCTCTGAGGATGACTTATCACAATGCCGATTAGTGAATTCTTTTCAAATTTCTCTATTTGTTTGACCATGCCTCCATACAAATCAACACCATCAGGGGAGAAACCAGAGTTGACTCTATATATCTGTTTACTTCACCTGCCTGATGGCATTCTATCTTCTGTTGCATTTATAAGAACGAAGCTGTAATATATGATGTACCTAAGGATTTTGTCCTCTTGCTACATATCATACTTTGTGACAAATTGTACCACTCCCAAATCCAAAGGGACTTGCAAACCTAATGTTGGGGACTGGTGGTAGATGTCCAGTCTTTTAGTCAATGACCTTAAGTGTACCCCAACACACACATACCCCAAACTTAGAAATGGGTACATACACAAATGAAGGCCCTTTGGTACACATGGATACAGCATAACTACAAGTCTGACTTTTTATAAATAAAATTCCTGGGAGCCAAGAAGTTATTAGAGTGCCTAGAGCAGAATTCTTTGGATGCTGTGTTTCTGGATGCTCTTGATGTGTGCAGCTTAACTATTGCCAAGTACTTATCACTCCCCTCCATGGGCTCCAGCAGCGTCTTTTGCTACTATATTGATGATAGTACTCAGTGCCCCCACCCTCTGTCTTACATCCTCAAAACTCATATTTATACTCCAAAGACCCTAGTGTATGGTGGTTAAGGTGGGAGCTGCCATCTGCTTCCAATCCATAAACATAACAGTCCCACTTTGATTTTTACATCCTGGTTAGGGGTGGGCAGAATCAGTGATGTCTAAAGTTAACAGAAAGATGCCTGCAGGAAGAATTCTATGTTCTCCTCTTCCTTACAACTGAAGGTACAAAGTGGATTATTTAAAAAATATGATCATAACCTTGTTGATAAGAGAAATAAAGACCAAGGCTGGAGAGACAGCTCAGATATTAAGAGCACTGACTGCTCTTTCAGAGGTCCTGAGTTCAATCCCAGCTGCCACATGGTGACTCACAACCATCCATGATGAGATCTGGTGCCTTCTTCTGACCTGCAGGGATACATGCAGACAGAACACTGCAACATAATAAATAAATAAATCTTAAAAAAAAAAAACCAATGCTGATAGAAATGTGTGCCCAGGTGTGTCACTGATCGTTGAAGCGGGAAGAAGGGAGAATGGCAGATGAGTGAGTTTGAATATGTTTATCACAAGAAGGGATTGGGGGTGGTGAAGGGCTTCATTTCCAAAGCTATTTTGGTCAGCCTGATGATCACATGGTGGAAGTATAGGGTTCACCATGAAGGAGTACCTGCCTCATCACATTTGAGTCTTTAGTTGGGATGAGAGAACCAAATTCCCACTGGGAATGTGCTGAGTGAGACCCTGTCATAAAATGCCAGGCTAGTAGACCCAGTTGTAAAATGCCTTTAAAGGACTCCAGCCAGGCATAGCATCTCATCTGTTAGCACATCGTGTAACAGGAAATGGGATCATGAGATCCAGTGCCTTCTTTACACCAGTGCTTCACAAAGCTGTCTGGGTTAAGGCAAAATCGAGCAACTCGATTTTCTTATTATTTTATCACAGATAATAGAGGTCCTATAAAACAGAAAACACCAAAGGTAGAAAAATATAAGACCCCTGGTGATGGGCCAGGCAATACCCATTGCTCGTTGTTCTGAGAGTATCCACAGGTCCTGCATCAACTGCCCTGGTAGTTGACCCTGTGTACCGGGTCAACTGTGTAGTGGGAGCAGACCGAGAGCAGCACTGTTTTGGACTCAAGCAAAAGACTTTGCGTGACTGCTGTTCAGATTAGAGTTCTTAGTTAAACATGCTAGTACATTGCCAAATATCCTGACTAATGAATGACTCAACATCAGAACTAAGTCCACTAATAGTCCAGTATTGTTCTCATTACCTGTTTGGGAATCTGGCAACATTTCTGTTCTGAACCTGTGATGACATCTCAAAGTCCTAAGTCAGAGGGGACCTCAAAGTCTTCTGCAAAGAATCACCTTTGGTACTGGAGCAAATAAACCTGACCATCATTGTTGGAGGGCTCAGAGGCTTGTCAGAGTTCAGAGGATCAACACTCTTATACCCTCTGTCTAGATGACTATTCAGAAGCTAGGATCAGAAACAGTCATTCTTTCGTTGAAGGAAAGAAGGGAACCTTTCCATTGGCCTTCAAACATCCAATAATTCAGAGATACTGATTTTATCATGGGTGGTGCCCAGATTATTGGTTTACAAGGGTCCTGCTATAGGACAGAGTCCCCAGGCTTAGTGCTTGCCAGCCAAGTCTCTTGCAATCTCAGATCCATGAAGTTGCCACACCTACAAGAGCAAGGTAGAGTTGTTCTGGCTCTGTCCCACCACCAGGTGTTCCTCAGGGAGGAACCGGCTTTCCCTTAACCTACTCTGGCTTTCTACAGCTCTCCCTCTTGCCTTACTCATTTCTCATTGTCTATTCTTCTTAGCCTGCCTTCTTGTGATGTTCAAACAAACACATGATGCATACAGAGATTCCTTATAGGCACTGAATTCTGAATTCTGAAAATTTAAATAAATGGTTGTATTACTCTTTAAAACTGGTATCGCAATAGATGACATCTTTTCTAAGACAAAGATCATACGTTCATTATTTGGAAAACACACAAGTAGATATTTTATTAGTTATTATTCTTTTGAGTGAATCATTAGCACTGAATTTAACTTCTCCTATGCATATACAAACAACTACACTTGCTGGATGTGCTACCTGTTTTCCTACTACTATGTTGTAAGAGCCCAGAGCCTCAGCAGCTGGATTCACCTGGGCTCCACTTTCTCCCATGGCTCCGTAGATTTTCCAGTCTCCTTTCCTCTGTGTGTGTGTCTGTTGCTGGCCTCTGGCTTTGCCCAGGCAGGCAGGCTGCTGGTGGTTCCCATGGATGGGAGCCACTGGTTCACCATGCAGATGGTTGTGGAGACAGCATGAGGTGGTGGTAGTTGTGCCAGAGGTGAGTTGGCAACTGGGAAAATCCCTGAATTTGACAGTGAAAAAGTATTCAACATCTCACACTCTGGAGGATCTGGACCAAGAGTTCAAGGTTTTTAGTGATTCTTGGTGGAGCCTTTGGGAAGGAACTGTCTATGCTATGTTATACAACACAGCCAGAAAGTATCTGGAATTAATATTTTCACAGTGTAGGAGTTTGTTTAATGGCAAGAAGTTGGTGGAGTACTTGGAGCAGAGTTCTTTTGATGCTGTGTTTCTGGATCCTTTCTATGTGTGCGGCTTAACTCTTGCCAAGTACTTGTCACTCCCGTCCGTGGTCTTCACTAGAGTATTTTGTTATTTTCTCAATGAAGGTGCTCAGTGCCCCAGTCCTCTTTCTTATGTTCCCAGAATTTTCTCGAAACTCACAGGCACCATGACTTTCAAGGAGAGGGTATGGAACCATCTTGTCTATATGATGGAGCATCCCATTTGCCCTTGTATTTACAAAACTGCTGTAGAAATTGCCTCTGAAGTTCTCCAGACCCCAGTGACTATGGATGACCTCGTCAGTCAAGTGTCCATTTGGTTGTTATGCACTGACTTTGTCTTGGAGTTCCCCAGACCTGTGATGCCCAACATGGTTTTGATTGGCAGGATCAACTGCCACCAGGGAAAGCCACTTTCCAAGGTATGTTGTCTCTCCTTTAGCACATGAGGACAAGCCTGGCTTTGGACAACAAAGAGGAAATTCTTTAATGATCTGTGATTTGATATTTACATTAGCTGCATCTGGAATCTCTTTCTGGTTAATAGAAAATCTATACAGGTGCCCTGTTAATATGGATGTGTATATCCAGGGCATAATTGAATATAACCTCCAAACTATGATCTGGATTTTAATTTATGTATATATCTCCTCTTCTTCTTCCAATGTGTATATGAGTTTGTGTAGGTTATGAAAATTAAAAACAACAACAAAAAAAGGTAACCTTGACAGGGAAGGGAATGACCCGAGGGAAGGCAGAAACAGACAGAAGTAAGATATATGTAAAATGAAGAAGAAAGGGACATTAGTTAGTGGGAAGTAAGGGATGAGCAAATAGTAGGGTGGTTGAGGAATGGGAATACAAGGGCGAAGTTCAATGACACAAATGCATGAAAATAGCACAATGCCACCCATATATATATATATTTTTTTCTTATTTTACATATCAATCCAAGTTCCCTCTCCCTCCCATTCTACCCGCCCCCCCCACTCCACAGGGAGGGTCATGCCTTCCAGGAGGGATCATCAAAATCTGTCAAGTCATTTGGAGTGGGGACTAGGCCCTCCCTCCTGCCTCTAGGCTAAGGGAGTATCCCTCCATGGGGAATGTGCTTTTGTGCACCAGGGATACATCCTGGTTCCACTGTCAGAGGTCCCTTAGACTGTCCCTGCCTTCTAACTGAGACCCATGTTCAGGGAGTCTGGATTGGTCCAATGCTGGTTTCCCAGCTATCAGTCTGCGGGTACATGAGCTCCCCCTTGTTCAGGTCAGCTGTCTTGGTGGGTTTCTGTAGCCTGGTCTTGACCCCTTTGCTCATCATTCCTCCCTCTCTGCAACTGGATTCTAGGAGTTTGGCTCTGTGTTGAGCTGTGGGTTTCTGCTTCTGTTTCCATCAGCTACTAGATGAGGGCTCTATGATGGCATGTAAGTTAGTTATCAATCTCATTGTCAGGGAAGGGCATTTAAGGTAGCCTTTCCACTATTGCTCAGATTGTTAATTGGGGTCATCCTTGTAGGTCTCTGAATGTTTCTCTAGTTTCAATTTTCTCTTCAAACCTATAATGGCTCCCTCTATTATGGGTTTTTTTTTTTTTTTTTTTTTTTTTTTGTGCTCTCATCTATTCATCCCCCGACTCAACTCAATCTTCCTGGTCCCACGTGTTCTCCTCTTCTCCCCTTCTCTTTCCCCTAACTCTCTCTCCACTCACTGCCTCCCCCACCCCACTCCCAATATACTCTCAGGAGATCTTGTTCCTTTCCTCTTCTATGAAGGACCTTGTATGAATCTCTTAGGTTCCTCCTTGTTTCCTAGTTTCTCTGGCAGTGTGAATTATAAGCTGGTGATCCTTTGCTCTATGTCTAAAATCCATATATGAGTATGTTAATTTTAAAATGGTGCAAACACTTCCAAGCTACATTTTAATATTGTTTTTAGAATCACTGAAATACACATCAAGGCATGAAACCTTGTTTACCTATTTCTAGTCTAACCTCCATAGGAAAATACTCTTAGTTGTGTTTACACGTTTTTCCAATTTTCAGAAATTATGCATATACCAAATAGTTCCATTCATTCCATTACATAAAATAATAATAACAGCACAAACATTCTTACTTAATATACATTTGCATTTGACAATGATCACAGGCATGGTCATAAGCCAAGAAGTATTCTACTTTACTAATCTCATTAAAATCTTTACATTGGAATTTTCTCATATCATCTTTGAGGGCCTCTATCATTTTCAAGAAGTCATTTTTTTTTTTTAAGGTCATTCTCTTCTGCTTCATCTGCTTTGGTGTGTTCAGGTCTAGTTGGTGTAGAGTCTCTAGATTCTGTTGGTGCCATACTGGTCTTTCTATTGTTAGGTGTTTTCTTGTATTGCTGTCTTCCCATCACTTCTTCCAGTGGGTGCAGGTGGAGTCTCTCTCTCTCTTCCTTGCTCTCCCGGTGGGTGTAGGGCGTCAGGAGTTCGATGTCAGTAACTCTGGATGACCCGAGCAGAGGCTACAGCAGGGCCAATGATATGGGGAAGGCAGGCTCAGGATGGTCTCAAGCACTCAGGCAGAAAGCAGGCAAATGAGCCCAAAGGTCAGGTGAGGGCAGGCTCCAATGTGGAGCCTGTGTGGAGCGATGGGTTCCGTATGCTCAGAGCTGACCCAGGAAGTTCTAAGGGGAGGGGAAGGGTGTTGGACCCATGATCTGGCCAAGCACGCACCCCAAGCAGTAGGCCCAGCAGGGCCAAGGATGAAGGGAAGGCAGACTCTGGATAGTGGATAATCCAGAGTACCAGGACTGGGCCACTCAGACCAAGGGATGTTGGGGGGATTTGGCCTGGGCTGGTCCCAGACTCATCTCAGGCAGAGGCAGGCAAAGGGGCTCAAAGGTCAAGTGAGGGCAGGCTCAAGATGGTCCCTTAAAGAAATGGAAGGAAAGCCAAGAAGAAACAATCAAACAGATGAAGGAAACAATTCAAACAGTTCAAGACCAGAAAACTGAAATAGATACAATAAAGAAAACACAAACAGAGGGAATGTTGGAAATAGAAAAACTGGGTAAATGATCAGGAATTACAAATTCAAGCATAACCATCAGAATACAAGAAATCGAATCGGAGAATCTCAGGAGCTGAACATAAACTAGAGGAAATAGATTCATCAACCAAAGAAAATCTAAAATCCAACAAATCCTTAACACAAAACATCCAGGAAATGTGGGACACCGTGAAAAGGCCAAATCTAAGAATAATAAGCATAGAAGAAGGTGAAGAAGCCCAGCTCAAAGGTGCAGAAAACATATTCAACAAAATCATCTTAAATGCCCTTCCCTGATAATAAGATTGATGATAACGTATCCACCATCATAGAGCCCTCATCTAGTAGTTTATGGAAACAGAAGCAGACACCCACAGCTAAACATTGAGCCAAACTGGAATCCAGATGCAGAGAGGGAGGAGTGATAAGAAAATGGGACAAGACCAGGCTACAGAAACCCACAGAGACAGCTGACCTGAACAAGGGGGTGCTCATGAACCCCCAGACTGATAGCTGGGAAACCAGCATTATACCGACTCAGACCCCCTGAATGTGGGTCTTAGTTACAAGGCCTGGGAAATCAGTCTAAGGGACCTCTGACAGTGGAACCAGGATGTATCCCTGGTGCACAAAAGGACTTTGGGAGCACATTCCCCATGGAGGAATACTTCCTTAACCTAGAGGCAGGAGGGAGGGCCTAGTTCCTACTCCAAATGACTTGACAGATTTTGTTGATCCCTCCTGGAAGGTATGACCCTCCCTCTTGAGTGTGTGGGGAGGGGGTATGGGAGGGTAGTCGGAGGACATGGGAGGAAGGGAGGGAGTGAGAGGGACCTTGGATATGTAAAATAAAAAAAATTAAAATAAGTAGTTAAGAAAAGCATGTGCTACAAATATATGTTTCTGGGGTGGTTCTCTTTTTAAATTAACTATATCAGTAATGAAAGATCTGGTTTTGTTTTGAAATTTTCACATGTGTCATTAGACTTTCTGATTCATTCTCCACCTTCATTTTTGCCTGTATTCTGAGAATCTGAGAGAAGATGAATTTAAAGATAATGGTCTGGTTTGTTGTTAGTGCGGGATGATGTTCAGGCTGGTGCTGAGGCAGCAGCTATAACTGACAAAGGTCAGCATCATGGCTGAGAATCCTCCTGTACTGCAGTGGGGCAAGAGGAAAGTGTTTCATCAGGGTCAGCACAGCCAATACAGCTGTGGTCCAGGGGGACCAGGCTACATCTCAGCCTGGCAGCAGCCCCTGATGGTGTTGCATCATCTATGGGGTACTGGTTTTGAATGAAAAGTTGAAGAATTGCAGGGTCATAGGGAACAGCTGAGGCTGGGCAAGGTGGGAAGCCCTATAGAGAGGTCCCAAGAAGTCCACTGCACGTACTTATGTAGTGACAGTGGAGACTCCAGGATAATGGAGATGCTAGGACTGTGGGATATCTACAAAAAAAAAAAAAAAAAAAAAAAAAAAAAAAAAAAAGGAATTGCAGATGTGGAGTCAACCTGAGCCTAAATGAGAAACTGTACATGCCGTCTGGAGAAATGGGGCTACCTAAGCCCTTTGGAGTCCATTATTATCCCCATATGCTGGATAGTTAGACTAGTTCTACTTTGCAGGATTTTCGTTTCAAATTGATTCGATTGTTTAATGACATGATTCTTCCTTTTTAGAATAAGAATGTTTGTTCTGAATTTTTATATTGGAAGTATATGTCACTTTTTTTTTTTTTTTTAAATCCAAAACCTACAGGAATAAGGATCTCCAAAGGCAAGGTGATGAGTAGGAGGACAAGGGATAAGAAATAAAGATAAATGCAGTAGCTAGGACCAGGAGGTCTGGCATAAGCTGATGGTTTATGTCAAGCCAGTGCATTAACAAATAAACATCATATGTACTATTTGCAAGAGGAAAAATAGCCAAGGGCAGCTGAGATCTAAGTCAGAGCATGTTGGCAAAGAAAACACAATACCTCATTCATGGTTGCCTAAGGACGAATAACCAGAGCTCAAAGGGAAGAGTTAGGTCCCAGGAAACCACAACATTGACTCCTCCAAGGCACTGGCTCCACCCCTAGACCAGCCATGCCAAAGCCACTCCTGGACAAGGACAAGAACTAAAGTTCCCTTTGTCCTTTCACCAGGACCCCTGAGGAAATGTGGGGTCAGGCTGGCTCGCCACAGCTTTTGTTTTTTGTTTTTGTTTTTGTTGTTGTTGTTGTTTTTAAAGATTTTATTTCTATCTTTAAATATGTGTACTTGTGTGTCTAAGTGTGAACTTTTACATATGAGTGCAGTGCCTGTGGTGTCCAGAAGAGAATGTGGGATCCCTTGGAGCTGGAGATACCAGAGGTTGTAAGTTGTCAGATGTGGATATTAGGACCTGAACTCAGGTCCTTGGCAAGAGCATTATGTACTCTTAACATGAGTTTTCTCTAGCTTCCTGTTTTCAATGCTATAGGCTCACAGTTAAGAGACTTCGGATTTTACAGTTTGGGAAATTTTAAAGACTTTGGGGATTTGGAAAGTGAACTGTGTTTTACAGTATGAGATAAACGTGCAACTTTGGGGAACAAAGTTATGGCTTAAAGAAATGTCTGTGTTTCCAGTTG